TTTCTGGGTCAGGGGGGTGGCAGTCAGAGATGCCACCCAAGTCTCATAGCACCAGCCCCTCACTGACCCTCTGCAGGTGGTGAGTCCACAGGAGGACGGCTGCTCTCTGACTGTGAGCATAGCCTTGATCTTTCAGTGGGGGCTTTTGGGCAAAGTGGGGTTAAGTGTTTTGCCCAAGGACACAACGACAGCAGTCATCAGTGGGAGTCGATGGAGAAGGTACAGAGGTGGGAATTGAACCCACGACCTTCTGGCCTTAAGGCCAATGCTCTACCAACTGAGCTACTGTCGCCCCAACTTGATGAGCACTTTAACAGTACTTAATCCAAACTTTACACAAACATTTGACTCTTAAACAAACATACAGTGCCTTGCAAAAGTATTCGGCCCCCTTGAACCTTTCAACATTTTGCCACATTTCAGGCTTCAAACATAAAGGTATGAAAAATGTATTTTTTGTAATGAATCAACAACAAGTGGGACACAATCGTGAAGTGGAACGAAATGTATTGGATAATTTAAACTTTTTTAACAAATAAAAAATTGAAAAGTGGGGCGTGCAATATTATTCGGCCCCTTTACTTTCAGTGCAGCAAACTCACTCCAGAAGTTCAGTGAGGATCTTTGAATGATCCAATGTTGTCCTAAATGACTGATGATGATAAATAGAATGCACCTGTGTGTAATCAAGTCTCCGTATAAATGCACCTGCTCTTTGATAGCCTCAGGGTTCTGTTTAAAGCGCAGAGAGAACCATGAAGACAAAGGAACACACCAGGCAGGTCCGAGATACTGTTGTGGAGAAGTTCAAAGCCGGATTTGGATACAAAAAGATTTCCCAAGCTTTAAACATCTCAAGGAGCACTGTGCAAGCAATTATATTGAAATGGAAGGAGTATCAGACCACTGCAAATCTACCAAGACCCGGCCGTCCCTCCAAACTTTCATCTCAAACAAGGAGAAGACTGATCAGAGATGTAGCCAAGAGGCCCATGATCACTCTGGATGAACTGCAGATAATTACAGCTGAGGTGGGAGAGTCTGTCCATAGGACAACAATCAGTCGTGCACTGCACAAATTTGGCCTTTATGGAAGAGTGGCAAGAAGAAAGCCATTTCTCAAAGATATCCATAAAAGACTCGTATAAAGTTTGCCATAAGCCACCTGGGAGACACACCAAACATGTGGAAGAAGGTGCTCTGGTCAGATGAAACCAAAATTGAACTTTTTAGCCACAATGCAAAACGATATGTTTGCCGTAAAAGCAACACAGCTCATCACCCTGAACACACCATCCCCACAAGGAAGTTGGCTAAAATTGATGGGAAGATGGATGGAGCCAAATACAGGACCATTCTGGAAGAAAACCTGTTGGAGTCTGCAAAAGACCTGAGACTGGGACGGAGATTTATCTTCCAACAGGACAATGATCCAAAACATAAAGCCAAATCTACAATGGAATGGTTCACAAATAGACGTATCCAGATGTTAGAATGGCCAAGTCAAAGTCCAGACCTGAATCCAATCGAGAATCTGTGGAAAGAGCTGAAGACTGCTGTTCACAAACGCTCTCCATCCAACCTCACTGAGCTCAAGCTGTTTTGCAAGGAAGAATGGGCAAGAATTCCAGTCTCTCGATGTGCAAAACTGATAGAGACATACCCCAAGCGACTTGCAGCTGTAATTGCAGCAAAAGTTGGCGCTACAAAGTATTAGCGCAAGGGGGCCGAATAATATTGCACGCCCCACTTTTCAGTTTTTTATTTGTTAAAAAAGTTTAAATTATCCAATACATTTCGTTCCACTTCACGATTGTGTCCCACTTGTTGTTGATTCTTGACAAAACATTTAATTTTTATATCTTCATGTTTGAAGCCTGAAATGTGGCGAAATGTTGAAGGGTTCAAGGAGGCCGAATACTTTCATCAACATCTCGCTTCAATTCGCATTAAAAAGTGACATCTGTGTCTTAATTTGTTCGTATTTAAGAGAGAGAGTCAGGTTAGACTTTGTCATGCATCCTTCACAAGTCTATAATTCACAGCAAGCCCAGTCCTGGTGAGCAGAAATCTATGCATTTCTGAGAAAGTTGGGGGAAAGAAATTATATGAGCCATTAATGACAAATCTCCTCACATCAATTGACTCCACAGACTTGTTCATCTCACTGAAGAGAGTCCTTTCAACTGACTGCACCATTATCTAAATGAAATGACATAATTGCTAATTTTTGAAGCTTTTGTTGAGGAAGACAATTTCACTTTTTCATTCATTAAGACAGAGAAGACATTGAACTTTATGTTAATTTGTGGTAAGAGAGCAAAAATTGGTAATTACAAATATGAATTATAAACCTCATTTTCTGCATTTTGAGTGTTATCAACTGACCTCAAGCTAATAGAAAAGGGGTGGCAAGCATCTCAACAGGTTTGACAATAAAAAAGAAAGAATCTGCAATAAAACACTTGGTAAACTCATTGTCTTCATGTCTCCCTGTCCCTCTATTCAAAGTATCTCCGTGAACATGAGGCTGATTATCACAAAAAAGTCCATTTAGCTTGAAAAAGGTTTTAAACAGGTCTAGGTAGTTTTGTGATTGTCTCCCGTGAGCATCTGCTTTCTTTGTCCGTGGCTGCGTCTTACTGGCTGCTCCGAGATGAAACAAAAAAGAGGCATGTGCTCAAAGTCAGTGGCAAAAGACAAATACTCCTCCACTAACACGAGAAATGAAAGTGCGGGTGCCCAAAGCTTGTGCTTTTTACAACAGGGGCTGTATCAGTGGCTGCAGCAGGGGTGGGTCTGAGGTGAGGCCCCAATAAAGAGGAGGGGGGGCAAACTGAAAAAAATACCGGTAAAAAAATAATCAAACCTTTAAAGCTGGACCTTCCTTAGCCATATAACTGATTCCTAAAATACACTAGAATACTAATAGTTGCACTTGATCAATAGTTCTCTTACTACTGTTCTGTATCCCTTGATTCAACATTGACATTTTTACCCACTGTGGGGCAAATAAAGAATCTCCAAATCCAAAATACAGTAGGTTGATTTGGTCGTTCGAGCCCTGGAGCCCTGAGTGTAGCTCTGAACAGGAAGACAGCTGACCAGTTAATAGTGCGTGAAAGAACCTGCTTGGACCTGGAAGTGCAGCATTTGACATTAGGGCTGTAATTGATAGGTGTTTGGATCCTTAACATTTTATTCAGCCAAACTCTGGAACAGTCTTCCCGAAAATGTGAGACAAGCTGCTACTCTCCAATCCAGGTTAAACACTTCTTAGCTGTGCAACAGTTTAGCTGTGCATACAACTGAGGGATTGTAATGCACTCTGATGATTGTAATGCCTTATGTGATTTCAATGCTTATTTTCTTGCTCTGTTAAGTACTTTGAGTTGCCTTATGTACGAACTGCGCTATACTAATTATCGTGCTTTGCGTGAACATACGTGTTGTTCAGGTTCTAAATAAATCTCAACAAATCTAATAAGGGCACGGGCACATAGGTTTTTACAAACAAACTAGGCCAAGTGGCCCGGATCGCCGCCACAGGGGTGTGAAAACGGCCCGTGGTCACATGAACGTGTTTTCGCAAACGTGCCAGAGTAACTGTGCTGTAGTGCAACACTCCATCCAGCTGGTGGTGCTAATACTAACTCCAGCAACGACCTCGTCCTGGTTGAGTTTCCGTTTCTCTTCCTGTTTACGCTCTGCTACTGTAGCTAACAACTCGAGTACGGATCGTGTTGCTTAGAGAAAGACACATCTCACACTTGTCCACATTGCTCTGATGCAAAGTGCAGCAGTTCAGTTGGTAACATGTGTGTGCGCGTGTATGTGTGTGTGTGTGTGTGCGCGCCGCGGACACGAGTGCACACACACACACACTCTTTAGTAACGAGCGTAAGAGCGCTGAGAAATGAATGAATGAGAATGAAAGAATTAAAAGTGTGGCGTACGAGCAGAGCGACCGGAGACAAGCAGGATACAAGTGTGTGTTGGTGTGTTCTACAGTAGCGATTAAAAATCCTTGAATGTCTGAAGTATTATTGCAATAGCACCACACAGAGAGCAAGGGTCAGAACCAGTGGGGGCGGGTTTTGGCTCAAAAATGGCCAAAATGACGTGCGCTGACATGCTTGCAATACCACCCCGGGCCGATGGGGGTGGACCCAGAAGTAGAATTAGCCAATGCTAACACATAGCGTTGGCAGACCTCTCGAAAACGTCTTTACAGGATGGACCAAAAGTTGGCTCTCGGCCCAAAGCTCCGTTCCACATGTGTGTCAATGCTGAAGGGGTGAATTTTTTTGGACCATGCGCGTATGCGTTTTTCACAATTTTCTTGTGGGCGGGACCACTCGCGGCCATTTTGGATTTTGGATCCAGTAGAGCACATTTTTTGGCCCATTAGTTAGAACGGCGGAGATAGGCGTGACTCTGTCCGTTAATATAATCTATGGTCAGAACAGAGGGAGTTATTCCCGTAGGAAACGCTTTTCTTTGGCGCTGCAGCGACAAACCCCCCTGAGCCCCTCGACCACGGCTTATATGAAAGGTTAAACACAAGTAGAGAATACGAAAGTGCAGGAGAGATGTTTGTGAAAATGCGCGTCACAACGGAAGACGTAATGTGACGCACAATATCATGTCCCCACCACACCTCATCCCCAACTCCCCACCATCCGCCACACTGACCCCCCTCATCGAGGCTTTACAAAGCAGGCCCTGGCCCAAGTCTTCAAGCGTGCCTGGGCGCGGTTGAGGCTATCGTGACCAAGCCCATTTGCCGCGGTCACATAGCACCTAAAGCCCGGATCTAATCGCAAAGTGGGCCCTGGCCCACTTAAACCTGGCTTTAGGCTGTGCATGTGACCGAAACCTTAGTCTATTTGTGGCTATACAAACAATAAATACTAGATTAATTGCTTAACTTGTTTCAGCAATATCAACTGTCTATCAACTGTCTTTACAGCCCAAATCCGCGGCGGCCTCTCTCTTACCTTTACGCTGAAACGCCTGCTTGAGACCCAGCAACACGTCTGCGAACCACCTCACATCGTTCACCAGTTGCATCACATACTCCGGGTCTACTCCTGGGGCCCCGGCCAGATTTGCTGTCAGCCCCATGGAGGTGAAGGGGTTCTGGGATCTGTGTCTGCGTACGTCCCAGGTTTTGTTGGATCCGGCCGACAGAGACCCGGTGTGGGGGTTTGAAACGTGTCGCGGCAGGCCTCTGGCTCCTCCGCTGCTGCTCCCTCCTCCACCTCCTCCACTGCTACTGCTGCTCTTCCGTAGCATCCCACCAGCGACAGGCCAAAACCAGATGCTTCCACCCCCGCTTTGAGGTGGCTGTGCTGGCCGTGGCTAAGCAGCAGACGCCCTGATTACAAGACGCCGCCTGGGTCCTTCTTGGATAAGTGGCACTGAGGAGGAAAAGAAGCAAGGCAAGGATCGTTTATTGTACAGTTCAAACATAAGGCAACTTAAAGTGCTTAACAAAACATAACAAGAAAAAAGACAAAATGAACCACAGTAATTCTTCATTGTATGCACAGCTAAACAGGACAGTTTTTAACCTGGATTTGAACATTGTCAGAGTAGAAAACCTGACTCGCATTTTCATAAAGACTGTTACAGATTTTAGTCAAACACATTTTAAATGCTGCAAAACCCTTATTCAGAATTATTCAGGCTGAAACTAATGATTATTTCAAAACTATTAGCTCTTTATCTATGTTGAAATGTGTTGTGATATTATCCACCTTCTTTGTTGAATAATGGCTGTTGGCTTTGTTTTAGGAGTCCATTAAAGCTAGGGCACTTTTTTGTTTCATAAAAAAAAGATGTTTGTTGTCCGTTGGAAAAAACTACAACCTGCTGTCCCCATCTTATTATAAAATATTTCATTGTTGACATACTTGTGAGAAAGAGCTCTTTGAGTCACTAATTGACGCTTTGGGCTGAGAGCTGATCAGGTTGAGTGAGGGTGGTCCTGTCTTTTAAGATAAGATAATTGTCAGACTGCTGACGTTAGTCCTAAACTGGAATGAGGAGCATAGCACAACTCTTCACTTAAAAGAATGAAATAAGGTTATAATAATAACCATATAAGGTATAACTGTATACGCAAGCGTAAAAGTAAAAGTGTAAATGCCCAAAAAGTCATTAAAAAGGTAAAGAAAAGATACAGGTAGGATATTTCTTATTCCTCGACTCCTCTACTGACTATGATCAGCTAAAATATTATGCACATTTGAAGTTTGGTGATAAACATTGTCTACCACTTATTTGGTTTGTGTTTAATACATGTTTTTTATTTTATTTTATCAAATTGGGTTAGGGTTGAGATTGATGGACAACAAAATTGTGATGACATTTTTCTCATTTCTCCGAGCTTTACATTCAGGACAGAGAAGAGACTTTAACGCATCTCTGCTTGTGTAAAAGTCTCCCCATGGCCTCGCACTAAAGTACATCTGTGACATGTTCGTGCCATATGAACCAACTCAGACTCTGAGGAGCACAGGGACTAGCCTCCTGCTGGTGCCCAGAGTCAGGACAGGACATGGGGAGGCAGCATTCCAGACCGAAGCACCTAAGATCTGGAAAGGTCTTCCTAAAGTAGTGAGCCGCTACACTGGCTATATTTAAGTCAGGGCTGAAAACACTTTTATCCGTGCTTATGACGGATCATCACTGCTCACCTGACTGTTGTTTTAAAATGTGAGTTTTACAGTGTTCTTTTTAATTTGCTGATTCTTGCTTTTATATGTTCTCAATGTGAAGCAAGGGAGTTGCATTTTGTATGAACTGTGCATACATTTTGATTTGAATGATTGCTCCAATTGATTGATACAGGGCAATACACAAAAACAAGGACTGATTTGTGATTTCCTCGACTCATTCAGTTTCAGAAGAGAGTGGTCTATAAAAATGTATCTGAATAACAGTATTTTTCTACCACAAGGACTGTTTTGGCCAGATTTTATTAAAGATAAACACACTGTAGCACACACAGTACTGACGCCCAGATGGTAACTGCACATATTCTGTGTTCAGTACATGGTCGTGGTCAAAGATGATGTTCTTGGCCAGCTGCATAGTGTTGTTGTGATGTGAGGCATGAAAAATGTCCTTTCAGATCTCAGAGCAGATTTGAAATGAAAGATTAAGCCCAGATTGAGCAGTGACTGATAGACAGCTGTATCAAAAATACACAGTGACAGAACCAAACTGTTTTGTAAATAACAACAGTAGTTATCTCAGAGGACTAAACAAAACCTTTGAACTTCCCAACACAGATCAGAGAATCAAACAGTTCAAACACAAGAAATGCAATGATTAAAAAATACCACATAGATCTATCGGTGTAAAAGGGGCAGTATGACCAATGTCCATAAATTTTGATAAATAACCATAAATATTCTTGACAATAGTCACATGGATTGGATTACAAGGTTATTTGTTTTAGTTGAGCGAATATCAAGTACCCCAGCTTTCAAGCCACACAAAATGAAACTAGTTCCTCTCAAATGAGTTCTAGCACTAGCTTCCGCAAAGGCATTTTTTGTCTCTTTCACATCTTCAGCTTTTTCGGACAGAAATGTGAAAAAGAGAAGACCACCCTGACTCAGCTCTCAGCCTAAGACATCAAACAGTGACTCACAGAACTCTTTCCTACAAGTATGCAAAAGATAACATGTATTCCAATAAGATGAAGACAGCATGTTGTTGTCTGATTAGTTCAGACAACATGTTACTGTTAAAAAAAACATGGCTCATTGAAGAAACATCATTGTCTTCCTCTCATTGTATATTCAATTCCCATTTCTATATTGGTTGTGTGATATCTCAAAGCACAATCTTGTTTGTGATCAGTGTCACTTGAAATAGGTCCTGTGTGTACTTTAGAGCTGTGCAGAAAGTTAAAAGGAAGAAAGTGTGAGGTTTTTTTGTGGGCAAGGCTTTACACAGTTGTAATTACTGTTTTTGTAGCTAAGTTGAAAGGCATTTTAAAACAAGTTATGCTGAAAATGTTCACACCACTTCAGAAAACATTTATCTTACAAAGTGGGTAGTTATTGACCTAAAAATACACTTCACATTCAAAGAAAATAGTCATCAAAGTTTTCCATAACACATTGCTAATCTTTACCAATGTCTTTCAAAGTCTAATCCACACAATAGTCACGTCTATTCAACATTATATTTAGATGTGTGTTTGAAAACATCTGATAACTTCAATTTGAACCAACTTTATTAGATCTTTCAAGAATACAGAATAAACTCGCAACGCAAGTATTAAGTATAGTAGTAACTGTATAGTCAATGGATTATCCTAAAGTTAACTTTTGTGACTTTGAATGGACAGTAACTCTGGTAAAACCTTACAAACATGTAATAGCAGCATCCCTGCGTATATCCACATTATCCCCACTGTTTCTTGATTTCATGTTATTGTATATTTACCCATTTCATGTGTAAGCCTCGTTAAAAGCAAGGCGACTGTGGCTGAGTGGGGGTATTAAATCAGCTTAGCGTTGCTCCTGACTGTATTTTACGGTTCACTTCACTTAAAAAAAATAATAATAATCTGTAACAACAAAATAAAACCAGGTAAATAAATGGAGTAAAGTGTGATCAAAGTCTGTACGTAAATAAGCAATGCTAGTCATAAAGTGCTAAAACGTAAACTATGCTATGTTACTCACCTGCTAAGCGGCTAAGAGACATATTGACCAGGATCTAAGGCTGGAAAACAACATCAACTCCACAGGTTTGAGTCCAAATGCATTCGTTTCGCGTGTTTAAAGTCCCGAAGCGGTTTTGGAAAGCGGTGTAAAGGCGGTGACTGTAACTTCAGGCGGCGGAGAGCTGTTTCTGTCGCCAAACTCAAGGCGCCCGTGCATTTACTGGGGTGAGCCACGTGACCCGAATGACGCCTTCTGATTGGCTGCTGAACTCCTCATGGGGGATTGACTGTTGTTGAGTCTTAAGTAGGATGGATTTTTGTCTGTGGAAAAGCTGAGTATTTTCAAGTAATATGAAAACTTAGACTAGAGCATTATTTTCACCTTTATAAAGCGAAATGAATCTTAATTGACATACTAATGACCATGATGTTTATTCAAAATAATTATATGTTGTTTCTGGTGTCTCTATTCATCTTTATTACTTGTTTTTTTTAGTTTCCTAGTTTTAGTCCTTACTTTTCAACCCTGTATGTTCTAATCCTTTGTTGTCAAACTTTACAGATGACAACACAAACATTCAATCAGATTTTAAGCCATGCTGCTGAGTGAATGAAATTGTTATGGTTAGCCTTGCTTCTAAGTTCAAGTGACTATTGTTTACTGTATTGTCATATTATCTGCCAGAAACATATATTCTATATGCTGTTATCTATAAATGCCCCAAAGGGGCAACATGCTGTCTTATCTTTTTAGAAAACATTCTATCTAATCGATAAAGATCCATGTGAGAAATACATGCATGTGAAAAGTAGTGATAGAACCAAACTGTTTTGAGAGTAAATGGATTTTATTAGTTATCTTTGTTCTATTGTTGTGGTTTGAAAGTTGTATACCCCAGCTTTAAATACAAAGAAAACATGTAGTTTTACTTATGTATATGATTGACTTAAATTCTATTTTTAGTTGATTTCCATACTTGTATCTATACCTTTTCTCGAATACTAGTACTTAATACTAGTACTAGACTAGAAAGACTAGTACTTTTGCCAACTCTGCATTTCAGTTTGGAGACAGATGATTAAATATTTTGCAACTGTGAAACTAAAACTTTTTTTCACTTGTAACTACACTAGAACATTCTAAACCATATTCCAAATTTGGATAGAGGACTTTAAGTAAGTAAGTAATCTTTGTTTATATTAAAGGATGCATCTTGTCTGTGCATCCTTTCACAGACCGATGCAAAAAGTGCTTTACAATTGAGTGGGCATTTGTGTCTCACTCCACGCAGAGATAGAAGGGAGGTAGCCTTACAGGAGGCACATGCCAGACCTATTGTACAGGTTTTTAGTGGTACCGGAGCACCCGGAGGAAACCAATGGAGAGACGGGGAGAACGTGCAAACTCCACTCAGAAAGGCCCTGTTTTGACTGGGATTCGAACCACGAATTTTTTTGCTGAGGAGCGATAATGCTTTGACATAGACTGTCCAAATCCAACATGACGAAAAGATGTTTCATTATTATTTGTTGGTCATTGGCAAAACATTATAATCCTAAATGTTTTTAAAAGTTAAACCATGTTTCAAATTAATCTTAAAGAGTT